AGCACATTTTCTTCTCCTTTTTTTTTCTTTCAACCAGCCAGTGTTTTATTTTACTTGGTAATGTAAAATTTAATGTATAACAAAGTTAATTTAAAAGTAGTTAGAGTCAGTATTAAATTCGATCAAAATAGATAGTCAAAACTGCTATTAAAGTCAATCAATCAAAAAGCCGATTCAAGTCGATTAACTTCAATGCCACTCTTTACTATTACAGTCGAGTCCGTTACGAATGAAAAATAAAAAAAAAATACTTATAAAAATCCGAATACATATAATTTTTATTGATGAATACATGCCAATATCCTGTAAAAATCGATTGAAATTTAATTGTTCTTTAGACGTGATAGAATTATAAATTATGTGTCAGCTTGCTAATCCAAAGCTCCCACAGATTCGAGTCCCCGTTAACACATGGAACCAGGTGGGTATCCATGACCTTTTCAATTAAAAAATGTCCCACTCAAGTTTATTCTATATATATTATTTGCTGACCACGATTTTCGATAGCGAATTGCCGTAAAATTTCCACAATTACCTGCATTACTGCATTAGCCGAGCACTACCAGGGCGAAGAATCAGCGATGTCTCGTCGTCATTTTTATTCCGCTCTCGGCTCGTTTCAATTCAACACCCGTAAAACAAAAAAAAGACCAAGCTTGCCCTCCCTCACATGCTTTATCGCGAAAGTTTGCGCTTCCCACCAACCGAATTTGTGCGCACTGCAGCGGAATAAAAAAGTTACCTCGGTCGAAAGGGAGAGAGAAAAAAAAAGGAATAAGAAAAACGCCCGGATGAAAGGGGAAAAAATTTAACTGCGAGTTTGACGAGAACGAAAACATAGGTATCAGACTATAGGCCCGCTTCCTGCTCCTCTACCTCCTGATACTGATCATATAGTCGATACCTTCTTTTTCTCCATAGCGATTGCTTGTTTTCCTTTTCTCTCGTTACTCCAGATTTCTCCTTCCACTAATTGGCAGTGGTGCAGTGCATCGGTCGTTAGACACACCTCTACGGGAGTGCTGAGAGAAGAGGACACTGTGGTAGAGAGAGCGACAGAGGAAGAGATCTGTTGTCCTTCTCTAACTCGGTCAGTGTTTGTTTGCAGAGCGGAAAAGCGCTTCTTTTTGTTTTCCCTGTCTCAGTTCTTTTGTTTCCACTTTGTCGCTCGACCAGACAAACGTCACTGCGAAATCGCTCTAAATTGGCTAAGCGCACTTGATACTTGTTTCACAACCATTAGTGTAGTGTTAAAGGGACTCTGTTACTTATGAAAACGTTATTATGAGTACATTTTATTATAGAAGCACCTTTTCTCATTCCATGCGAGGAAGTTCATTCTTTGTGAAAAATTAGTGGCGACGAGGTAAGGATATAAATAAGAATGATCAATTAGACTCCAACGAATTATGACCCATTTTTTGATACTTTTTGCAGCATAAGCTTTAATCATGGAATTAGCATAGTGATAAAGTAGAAATTCTAATACCAGATCGTAGGAAAATTTTTTATTTATTCATACTTATCGAAACAAACGAGCATCTCGAAAAATATCGGATATTTAGATCACCAAGTTATAATACAACCTGAAAATTATACGTAATTAAAGGTATTCGAGTTAAAATTTCGTAGTGTAATTTGAGTCTTGTTTAATTGACGGATGCTTAATGATATACGTGACAATAATAGTTTCACTGTGCTTGCAGTAGTATCTCACACTGGCAACGACTAATCTATCTTCTTTAACCACTTGAACGTGTTCTCGATAGAATAAGTATTTTTATTCAAATATTTCAAGAAATTAGCTAAACTAAAGTCTAATATTGGTTAGTTTGTTACACTATGAGAAAGAAATATTGTAATCACTGATCTCGTAAGATTACTCAGTTTGTACATTAAATTTAATAACTAATATGTATTAAAGCCAGTCCATCAAATACACAAAAGCTCACACTGGCTATGAGAAAATTAAAATCACATGTACATATCTTCAGTTACTTTTTACGAAAAAGTGCTGTGACAAATTACTGTTATCAAAATTGTTTTTATGTGCAGGTAATGATTTCATAAATATGTTCCTTCCCAATCAATGTTTATTCAAATCTCACAAAAAAGCTCATACCTGTAAAATCGAGAATTTTAAAACCTAGAATATATATTTTTATTAGGTATTCTACAAGATTGGTGCAGTGTTTAATGAGTATTAGACAACACCAGGTGTGACACTATGGAAAAAAAAACCCATGTATCCAACAACTAAATAACAAGATATTATATTTCATTCGATCTCAACATAATTAGCTTAATATCATTGTATGAACGAATTTTATCAGAAATTTTACTCGATAAAGTATAATTGCGTCTTTGAGGCACAGTAATTAAAAATTCATCTATACTCATAGCATAGCAGCAGATAACAAAAATACTGGGCATAAAAATTACATCTCACATAAATCATCTTATTGAGGACGACTAATTGTGTATCGCGCAACAAAGGAGATCACTGGGCTACAATTTATTATTCGCGTAATAACTGCCACCCAAGCCTAAGACGAGGTTAGCAACGCGTGTCAATAACAGCTCGGCTAACTTCCGAGTTGTATATATATTTTTCCTCACACCTGCGTTGAAAGTCTCACGTCACTCAAACCTTATGGTTACAAGTGATGATACTACTGAATAAAATAATGAAATGAAAAAATATTGTAGATTATTAAATTAAGCCACTTGTGGGTATTTATTACGTATGTTTATTATATATGGATTTTTAGTGGTCCATTTAATCAGTAATATATCGAATGTATAAATTACGGATTAATAAATACATCAAGAAATAAACAGTTGAATGAGTTGTAAGATAGTGTCTATATGTATAATAGTATACTTAGATATACAAATGGCAATATGTGAGATGTATGAATCATATACTAGTAATGTAATAGAACTGCTAAACATAATATATTATGTACAAGATGTAATTTAATCTTACCTTATTTTATTCTTAGCTGTACCATTTCTTGAAATATTTTTCGATAATGTTATGTTTAAGTTCTTCAAATGTTGATCCAACTGTCAGTAAGATATATAATTACCTTTATTGTTATACATGTACGTGTACAACATATCAGGTTCAAATAGACAAAAATAGTATTTTTAAATTATTTTTTTTTTTACTTGATCATAATAAATAATAAAATAAATATGTCTAATCCGTGCAGGTAAAGCTTTTGAGACTCAACAGAAAAATCTTGTATAAAAAAGAAGAAAGATAAGTTATAGAAACAAAGAGTTAAACTGATGAATGGAAAGAGAGCGGAGAACGAAAGCACAAAATTTTTATTTTGTATTTACCATTTATTGAATAATCTTTCATTGACTTCCTGTAATCAATTTTTTTTAACATGTGGCAAATTAACTCGAATACGTACATTTTTTTGGACAAATTCTCTTACTCCTGTTCGCAATCGTACAATACGTTTTCATCATCATTTTTCTTGCACAAACGCTACATGTATAGAAATTTAATCCTCAATAATATCGATCATGTATCACTTGACCATGAAACAATGTACAGATTGTGATTATTATGATATTATGTTGACATAGTTTAATCTTGCTTTCTAAAACGTAAGTGTATATAGTTTTGGTATTCAATTTTCGAAGTGAAAAATTTCTTGATCGTTCATTTGGAGATAGGAGTATGTGGTAGGATGGAATCAGAAACATACTTAAATTTAGTTGAAAAATTTTGAAAGAAAAATGTTGTTTATATTTCTCTCTTCAAAATTTAAAGAAAAACATTTTCCTTTTATTTTTCATATAATTTAATAATTTTGATAATTTGATCCGACCTATACTAAATAAAGTACGTTAGTCATTATAAACAGTTCCTCGTGAATTCTGACATTAAGTTGTTCAAAAAATATAATGTTTTACTCCTCATAACGATCTCTCTATTGAACATCAAATTGTTGTCACCTGTGTACACCTTTCACTGTATTTACATTTTTTTTTTTCATTTATCCATCGATTGAACTGAGAATTTTTCAATAGACTCCATGGAGTAAGTAAAATTTACTTTGAGGACTCACTTTTTCTCACAGTAAGGATCACGTCTAAGCTTTACATTGACACTCGTTATTAAGTGATGTTTTAACAACCGCTTCCTCATGATTTCAGTGGTAATCTTCTTTTTACGTTTGCATGATATTATACTGAGTTGTATAAAAATAAAAATTAGAAAACCATAACCATGGTAATTAATATAAATAATAATGCATTTAATGCCAATGAATTGACTCAATGAGTAAATGATGAAAATCGTAAGGTCATTTATCGATCGTCCATGAATATTAATAAACTGAATTTTAACTTATTAATCATTAGAATTTTTTTTCATTCAATCAAAGAAAACTTGATAATTTGTGCTTTCCCGATTTATGAAGAAAACTCGAATGAAATTATAAGTTACGCGTAGCACAGTAGTATTGACGAAATTTCCCGACATAACTTTCACAGTTTGTATCCCGCCGTCGTCGTCATCGTCGTGGGATCATAAACTTTGCGTTATACTCCTTATACTCTGCTGGTACACGCGTGATAACGAGACATTTCCCTCCCACACCCCGCGATCTCATCTGCTACCAGTGCAGCAACTTACGTATTAATAAATATACGTGTGTCTCGAGCCAACAGCCCTTCACGGAAGAGAGCATAGTTCTCCTGAAACTCGACGCACTAACGTGACGAAGATGTACTATTTCCGCTGTATTGCATCAATTATATGCTTCGAGAGAAATAATTTTCCAGGAACGTGTGCACGCCAGTCGTGACTTTCTTCACGTTTGTCCTCGATTGCGTGGTACATGCACGCTTGTTAGCCCGTAAATATAATTAATTGATGTACGGAAAGTCTACATTGTTTATATATTAATATAGCCTTAGTTATCAAGTTAAAGGATTTCTCAACTCTTTTAGTGTCTTTCTTCCTTTTTTTTTTCTTTTTTTTTTTTTTTTTTTTTTACATTATGTGTATAAGTAATGTTGGGAACTAGCATTCAAATTTCATAGGCAACTGCAAAGAACGTTTTGTTGGATTTTGGCACTCAAAGTTTTTCAACAAATTATTTTGTAGTGGTAATTTTAAAAATTAATACACAGAAAATAACAACATTTACGGTAAATGGGTGCAAAAGTTGAATACATTATTTGTTGAGTAGCACATGATTTTTTTAAATTAAAGTTTTGAAGTATGGTTTAATGTACTGCACTTGGCTTGTAAATGAAAACTGTGACACATACATTCGCTGTAGACATTTCAAATGCTAATACCCAATAAATTTTTGCTTTTGTATTATATGTTGACTTTGTGTAAATTATCATAGATTGATGAGTAATTTTTTTTTTTCTACCACAAGTTAGGAGTATCATGTATGCTTATAACACGAATATGAACATTTTTTTTGTTTACCTTAAAATTACAAAAAGTCTTCATATACATGTTAAATATGAGAGGAGGCAGCATACAAAAGATTACATAAAAATATATTTATAATTTAACTACATTTCCATGTATTATCTTTAATAATTCATTTATCATACGTAAATTTGTAATAAATATCTTACTCAAAGTAAAAATTTTTCTAACATAGAATAATCAAAAGCAATCACTTTATTGATAGTCTCAATATTAAACACACGTATAAAAATCATGTTAAATTAGTTTATACAATCAATAAGGTAACACTGGAATGAAATTTCACGATTTGTTTTGTAACACTTATTTTTTCTTTTAATCCCAAATAAAGTTCCAAATCAGCTACGAACACAACACACACCTACACTCGATACAATCGACACTCGTTCATACACACACACACACACACACACACACACACACATATATATATTTATATTGGCTGTTATGATCGGTAACATACATCGTGTAGATTTTTACGTATACTTTTATCTTGAATTAATTCTCGGAAAAAACAAATTACGTATTCACAAGTCACGCCCAACCATTAAAGTTATCAACATATGTACAATATACAGAAAATACTGTTCTTGAACACGAACATCATGTTTTCAAAGTCGATCGTCAAACCTTTTTGTTTTTAAATTTTATTTTTTAATACGTGCGCATGCATGCGACAAACACCGTCAGGACTAGCTCATTTGCGTATACCGACACACCTTGTTAAACCTTAAAAAGTACATATTATATGGAAAAAAAAACAACAAAAAAAAACATAAATATACGAAGAGAGAAATCATACGCTCAGTCCTCAAAAGTGCAAAGTACCTGCATTCGAGGACTCTTTATACAATCAGTGTCACAAAAGAGCACTCGCGGTAAGTAGTATCGACGCGCCAATATAATGACCCATAGTTTCCCGATGAATCACCAAATGAGATAACCCACGCAGCCACACGCACACCTAAACAGAGTTAAAAGTCACACGAGAGGATCACCGGTCGCCGTCACGGTTGTCATCACCATTGGGGGTGAGAGTTGGCCGGGGTGTCCGTCCATGCGTCGGGGGGATCCACTGGTGGTTGGGGCCGTTCACGTGGGGTAGAGGCTGGTGAAGCTCGGTATCCTCCAGCTGACGGCCGCGAGGAGCGAGACGAGAAAGTTGCTCGCCAGAATCGCTGGGCTCAAGTTGCGCCGGTCCCCACCGTGCATCGCTGCGGGCTTCTCCTCCTCTGCAAAACGAAATTACAAGCTCGACTCGCCCCGATTTTGCCAAAGGACCAGGGGCGAACCTACTTCGCATCCACGATGCTTTGACTGCGCGGTAGAGGGATGGCCGTGACAAGCTGGTATTGGGGGGTTGTCCTTGTACGAGTTTCTATAAGCTCCCTATGTGTGTACGTTGGAGGGGTTGGTTTTCACGATGTACCGCTGTTTTAGTCAAATAACATTTTTTTTTTTTCGTATTCTACCGCACAAAGGAATGGGTAGTGGTTTTTTTGTTTCTGTAGGAACAAAGTGATGCTACAGGACACATAGTAGTAGGCTATGACAGAAATACGAGGGACTCTTTTTTACTATACGTATAATTTATGAGCTTCTAATAGTTCAGGGATGGGTATCGTTTTTCGATGACTGCAGTCGATACATTCAATGTGGATGAATGCGAGTGTTTTTTTTTTTTTTTTTTTAATTCATTCGTATGAGGAGTGATTTGAGAATTATTTTAACAATTTTTCATGTAAATTCAAATGAGAATAAGAGGTCCAATTGTTTATTTTAGTTACAGCCAGTTGAGTATCATCTGTTAGTTGAATATCTATTTTTTAGAGACGGATAAATATAATTTTTTTTTTTAATTCAAGAAATGGATTTATATGTATGAATCGTCCTAGAGCCACAAAAGGTACAGCAATAGTATTTTAATTTGACAAATTTCAATTCAAAGTGTGTTTGACTTGTTTCGGACGAGACTTTTATATTCCGAATCTCGTAAATACCATAAATTCTTCGCAGTCACGGGATACTTATTGCGGACGTCCTGATGAAAGAAGCAGTTGGTTCAGGGTGGGGTGGAAAAAGCAGCTAGTTTGAACAATTTTTAATTTCCTAAACTGCGAGTATCTTGGCTTCTCGCGTCAATCCCCAAGATTCATTGAAACATTGAACTTTACGATAAAAAAAAAAAAAAAAAAGAAATAAATGAATAAACCAAATTACTGGTCTTTTTTAAATTAGGTTTTCTTAAACCAACGATCGAATATTTACATTGTTCAAGATCTTAATTTACTTGTTCCAAAATACGGCGTCATCAATCCTAACCAATCACACATGGAACCAACGGGCTTCTTCACGTCATCCATAAATCTTTGGTACTTTGATTTTTGAGGGCTTCGATTAGATTCTCCTAGAAAAGCTTAAGCCGGTGTCCAACAAACAGCGGATGGTCCACCATATGTATGTTTACGACAAACCAATGATAAACGGGAATCAACGTAATGGCGAGCTGAATGACAAGCGCAGAATCTCAAGAGATAAAACAAGTGCTCCAGCCAACAACTACAATGTGCCCTGTGTACATTCGATCGTTACGTCGAAGCCATTTGAGATGACTCGAAACGAAAACAAAACGAATCCGACCCGCACTCCCGCCCTAATGGCTTTACCAGTCCGTGCTCATGGGAAGATACACACGTTGCGCATACAAAAGCATCATTAGTAATTCCGGGGTGTACTTCCGAGGAGGAAAACTCGATGAAGCTATTAACCGGAGCTGCGGAACGAGAAATAGAAAGTGAATGCTCGTAGGGCGGAAGGAAGACACGCGCGGACCAGTGAGTGATCGCGAAATTTTGCGCCAGGTGTTTCGGAGTCCGGTCACGAGCGCCGGCTGCTTCTTTTTTCGGCTACATTTTTTTTTTTTTTTTTATCTCCCTCAAGCAATTTTTCCATCCCCTCCCTCGGGATCGCCAAAGATGATGGAGGTTTTTTTTTCGTTCCTACTTTTCGGGCACGTGGAAGGAGTCAGCGGGGACGGTCGAGTACACCAATTGCTAAGTGACCGTTTGCCAATCTAGCGAAGGGTTCCGTTGGTTCCTTAGTTGGTTGAAGGTAGTGTTGTTGTTGTTGTTGTCTCGTTTATGAAATAATACTACGTTTCCTGGAAGTTGTATCGTTTTATAAATGAGAATTTATTGAAAAACGCTCCTCGTTGTGTGTAATTACGTGTGGATTTTTTTCAAAAGATATGGAGTTTATAAGATTGATCAAAACAATGAGCTTTTCAATTGAAAAAAAAGTTGAGAAAACTGCAATTTTCGTTACTTAATATCGTTTAAGTATTTACGTTTCAGAAGTACGCGTGTGAAATTCCAAGTTTTGATGTTTAGTAGGAAAAGTTTGCGACACGTACTTTTACGTTATTTTTTTTAACTTTTGTTCTTTCACAAGTGCACAAGTAGTTTATACACAGGGGCTTGCAAACTTTTTTACAAACACTGAGAACTTGTACTTTACGTTATTTTTTTAAAAATTTGAATAGCAGTTTTGTTGTGATTTGCGTTAAATCTAGAAAAAATGTTGTATCTATTACGAGCTCCTATAATAAACCTACATAAATTAAACATAAAATTTGCATGTATTTATGTCTACTGCGAGTTATTCCCGTTGCTCTATCAAAAAATTTGTTAATTGCATCCATTCATATAATTAATATATTGTAGTCTATGAATTTGCTTCGTTACTATTACGTATTGTTTGTTAGTGACTTTATAATAACTATATTGTGTGCTGTCGAAACATTGTGAACAAAAAAAAAATAAATAAATAAATAAATAAAAGACCAACTTATTTATATTATGATGAATGGAAGTATGTATTTTACAATGTGGTCATAATACTGCTGTCCCAGAGAAAAAAAGTGTAAACACCACTAAAATAACATTGCACTTACGTTTTATTTTTTTGGGACTGCAGGATAATGCTAGTATGGAGTGATACGCAGACTATATGGAGCACCAGTGAAACCAACTACTAATTTTTAATTAGACTTTCTGATTCCACATTGATGATCTGTTATTATGAATTCGATCTAGTTCGTAAAAATTTTCAATTTAAACTTCTTTTTTTTTTTACCCCTCGTAAGTAAAAGTTGAGAGAAGCCAACTTGTTGAATGACGACATTTGCGATAATGAAAACAATACTGTTAGTTACTCGGCACTTTGGATGTCGTGGGGGTGCAATTAACACCAGATTATTTCGCGCGTTTGAGTAAGTCACGCTCCAGATGCCTGTCCGGGTCGGGTAACAACGCGTGCGTTCCATGCAGGCTTACGGCCAAACTTACATATATATAAAGTAAAAATTTTTCTAACATAGAATAATCAAAAGCAATCACTTTATTGATAGTCTCAATATTAAACACACGTATAAAAATCATGTTAAATTAGTTTATACAATCAATAAGGTAACACTGGAATGAAATTTCACGATTTGTTTTGTAACACTTATTTTTNTACGTTTGAACCGAGATTTTCAAGTACAGCAGTTTCAAAACAAATTTATAATTACTACCGTGCTTTCATTAAAAATTTCCAGCGTAGCTCTTTTTCCAACGTTGGGATGTTTCATGGGGTCGTGGAGGAATATCTTACGCACCATAGTTCTCGAGTGCAATTTTAATTAGTGTTTGATTAAAAAAATCTCTAAAACAAAACCGTCACGTGCAAATAACAATGATGTTTTCCCCAGTTTGGACGTGTAGTGAGAACTCAGCAGGAAAATTCATTCAAGGAAAAAGTCACGAACCAAGAGGGAATTCGATTTTTCGGGCAAACCTACGGCTGGATGGAAAAAAAAAAGAAAAAAAAAAGTCTCTCGTTTATAGATTTTGGTGGATTTCTCAGCTATCAATCAATTTTTCTATAGCATTATACGTTAGCTAGCCACCGAAATTCTCGTACTGTGTTACCACGTACCCTCGATCACGTGGACCATGACGTAGGCCTCGCGAGCGTTGCTGGGCGCGCAAGTGTAGTTTCCCCCGTGGCCCAGCTGGGTCTTTTCGACCTCGAGGACCGAGCCGGCCTTGGTGAGCTCGACCCTGACCCCGGGCTCGGAGTCGTAGTTGATCATCCTCGCGTTCCTGTACCAGAATACGTAGAGCGGCGTCTCGGTCGCCGACATGAGCTTGCACTCGAGCCGTAAATTCGAGCCCTGCTTGACGTGGAGGTCCGGGGCTCCTGGTATTATCGAGTAGGCGTCGGTCACGCTCAGCCGCACGAAGTACTGCTGGACGGGGTGTGTCGTCACCTGTGCAGACACACAAGAGCGATTAGGTCGATTTGTCTTCGTTATCCACTGCTATGCTGCCGCTACTGCTTGGTGTGCGTTTTTGCGGTGGTGGTGTACGTGGATAGGTGCAGTGATGGAGTGTGCATGGGCGAGGTGCGCTTCCGGACTCTGTAGGGTCGATTGTTCGCGCGCTCAGTGATTTGGGAATAAGCCGTGCTCGGGACAAATGATACGGAGCTCACGCGTGCCCCTGATTATTCGTGCTTCGAGCTGACGTATTCCTTTACTTGCTTTTCTTGACTGGGACTCGCGTTGAGGCGCGGAGTGTTTATTTATGGACGCCATCAGTATTTTCAGAATTGTTTATACCTTACAAACACGTCGGATTATAATTTTATTACTCAATCAAGTACAATGTACTTCATAGTAATTTTGAATAAAATGCATCGAAGGATTTTTCATTCTCAATAAACTCGCTACAAATAAAAAGTTTCGAGTATTTTGGTTTACGTACTTTATTTCAATTATACTATTTCAAGTTAAACATTTTAATCGAAAAAAGTGTAAGTATAGTTGCGTTTCATCAAGTTGTTTGAAACAAATTATTTTCAGTTTGGATAAGAGTAATTTAAATAAATTATAAATGGCATCTCAACTTCATAGCCTTAACTAAAATAAATTAATACTAAACACAATTCGAGATTATGTAAATAAATAAATAAATGTAATTTTAAGATAAATTTAAATTATTTACCGTCGCTATAATACTGGTTTGCAATCAATTTCATTGGATAAATTTTGGCAAAATATTGAGTTTTCTGATTTGCGACAGCCTATTGGCTGTAACGCTTGCAATTGTAATAAATAAATCAAGAAGCTTAATAACATAATATATCAATGTTTGAACAAATGAGACACAACCACACATATCCATTTGCCTATGTCTGATTATAATCACGCGTTACTATAGTTGGATGTCCGTTGAGCCACAGTAGTAATGTATGAGTTTGGTCAGACATTCGTAAATTCATCAGTATTGAGGGGAGGAGTGGGCTGGGGATTTGAGCATCTATATATATATGTTTATGTATTTATACAACATGCTTATTGATGAACCAAAGTAATATTATACTGAGCTCATGTTATTATGTTTAATTGTGATGAATAATTTTAATCTTTGAAAGGTACAACAATGTAATTGCTTCGTCCAAACTATTCTTTGAAAAATTGTCTATGTTCAGAGCTTTAAGTTATCATTCCTTTTTGTAGTGAATCTTTCTATCAATTAACAATAGATTAAAATGTCTTGCAATTGATTTTGTTGAAAAAATATTTTACTTTCCAGTCAAAAAATAGTGAAATTCGTATACATATTATGGAAGAAAGTAAAGAATCCTTAGATCTTACATTTCCTTTGGCCATAGACAACACTTTCTGAGATCTGAGATATTCTGTACTTTTATTTTGCTTTGTAGATGTGTAATCCACTATTTACTTTCTCACAGTTGCTTAAAAGAGTAATTTTGTTTATACCGTATACTTTTTTATATTGATTTCTCAATTTCCAATAAAAAAATACTTATCACCATTTTTAGCTAAACTTTTTGTTTCTCAACGTGGCATTAATTATTAGCTTCAGAGTAGATAAGAATTCCTTTAAGCTCTTCAAATTTGCAATTTATTAGGCTATTAATGAGTTATAAAATTATATTTCTTCAGAAAATTCATAGAAGATAATGGATAGACCATACGTTGTATCTTTATATGGATTTTACTTAATGCTGGTTAGGAAAAACCTATTTGTTTAACATGATTTTAATATATATTGCTGACTTGTTGAGATAAAATTTTTTTGTAAAAATTAAAAACAAAAATAAATAAAAGATTAAGTTACATTTTTCGCCCATGCAATAAACCTTATTAAATAATTTAAAAAATAGGTTTTAAATATCAAAATTAGTTTTAACCATAAAAAGATTTATCTCATGTGAAAACTATAAGTTATTTTCAATTTTACCAATTTTTTGTGATAAGCAAAAAAAAAAAAAACTTTTAAGAACAAAATAGTAATGTAAGTGTACTCAATTTGAAAAAAAAATCAATTGATATCCTCGGTAATTTCCATAATACATCAATCACAGTTTATGCAAAAAATGTAATATAAATAACAGTCACTTGTAGTTAGAACGCAGAAAAAAATACTGGAAAGAAAAAAACTTAAACAGACAAGATGATGAAAAAAAAAAAAAAAAAAAAAAATGAGAAAACAAAAAAACAGCTAACCACAACAGTGACAGTAATAAAACCAAAAACGAACACACGCTCACCTGGCATTCGTATAGCCCAGCATCTTCATGGGTGACCTTTTGTATAAGCAACGACCACTCGGAGTTCACATGCTTATGCACCATAAATCTCTTGTCCACCGAGTGAGTGTCCTGGCCGACAGTAAGCAATTGCCTGTCCCTGCGCCGTACCCACGTGACCTGCAACAGAAGTCAAGGCGCAACGTTCAACAAACAAACAAAAGCCAACAAAACAACCTCACTTCCTCCCTCTTCGCTACCCATATACACACGAGCACACAATGTCACGTTTACGTGAGCATGGCTTCCCACCCTCACCCCCTCCAACTATTCTCTAGTTACCGGTATCGTTGCATCAACTTCAGACTCTTGTAATAAACTTTTCTAATTTAGAAGAGTTGGCCATTGAATATGGGCTTTATGATGCATGGGCGTATTACGTGCATGTAACTCCCACCAAAGATGCTTACGTAAGGAAAGTTGGGAAAATTTAATATACCGTCGTAGTGATTACTTGTTATTCACAAAGAAGCGAATATTGTTGTTGAAGCGTAAGATATTTTTTTTTTTTTTTTTAATCAAGACAAAATAAGAATGAATAATTTATATCAACTACCCGAAAAACTCATAGTATTCATGTAATAATTTTCAATTGTTGCTTTTTTTAGTACGCGGTCAATTAGTAGAAGAAATAAACTCATAACAATTAAAACGCATTAATATTTGCTGTGGAAATGTTAGTATTATTTGTCTTTCTGTTGAACTCCAAACAAAACCAGCGTATAAATTAGCATACCGAGATTCGCTTTTCTTATACGCTAAATATTAAAATGTGCTCTTGTGCATCTGCCCATTTGACCAATGAGAGCTGATGGCTAACCGAATATTTTTTTTTTGTATTCATGTTAAAAAATGGGAAGCTGTGACCCTTACCAGTTAGGAAGACTTGAGCCCTCCCTGCCCTTATTTTGAGCAACCCCTAAAGTTAGATGGCAGCAGTACAAGGTGATTGCTTTTGAGTGAAATCAAACTTAGATTCCCGCGTCATCCTGTCGGGGGCCCACATCGTTACCCGCATTTAGACTAGTAAATTCAAGCTGGAGCAGTTCCAAATTTTATTCAAAACGCTTGGATCCGACTAATTTTTATTGAAAATACATTATTTTTAAAGGAATTTAATATGCAATTGTAATTGTCAAAAACAATTTGGTCTAATACAAATGTATTTTAACAAACTGTTTGAAATGCTTTAGTAATTAAAAGAATGCATTGTAATTACAAATAAATTTCATTGAATGAAATATTTAAAATATTTTAATTTAAATATTGTATTTCCCTTTTCTTCTGTTTAAATACCAATGTATTGAATTTTTTAAATTTGAAATAAAATGTCTGAAATATTTGATTTCATATAATGTAAAAAGTACACCAACATTTTTAGTAGTTAAAATGTTTCGGTTAAATAAAATATTTGTTACGTTATTTCATTTTAGCTACAATTTCAGATGCGATAATAGAATAGATATAGTAATTCACCAAAATCTTCAATCGAATATTCCTTTTGATGACGAGAAAACGAGTTTTAAAATAAACTAACTTTTAGCAGCAGACGAGAAATAAAGAAAGCCATTTTTTTTTGGCAACAAAAGGTAGGTATAAAACTGCCGTCGAAACGAGTGAAAGCACGATAACGAGCTTCGAACATTTTTTCGAGACCGAATGAAACAGCAACTCACTCGTTACGCGAGCTTTATGCAAACGTTTGCCGAGCGGAAAATTGAAAAATAATCCATTGGTAATCCTATTACTACGCGGCATCAGTTGAATAAAATGAAAAAAAGCCCCCTCGAATGTATGTATATACGAGACAGGATCATTTTTAATGAAGCCGCATACGGAAAAACCATAAACCATCAGGGGTGGCTGACCAACTCCGCTCTGAAAAATATTTAGCGACGAAGGCTATTTCGATTGATTACCGGGTATCCCGCCCCAATTGATTTAGATGCACGGCGGTATAATTATTAAATTAGGCAAAAAACGAGAGAGGAGAGAGAAAACACGGGCGGGCGAGCAGTGTCTCATCGCTCGGACAAAGCCGTGAATCGATAAAAGCTTCGTGCCGTGTGCACGCACTCTCGAGAGCAGGCGCGGGGTCCAGAGCTCGTTATTAATTTTGTTTACGCTTTCCCCGCGAGGCTGGACAAAATTCAGAAAGAGAGGGAGGGAGGGCAAACAAATTGATACATGGAACGTGAAATTTTGCTCGTTTCGTGTGTCATTGGGTGCAATCCCTAAGCCTCCGATGATTTCTGATGGGGCGGTCCTGCGACATTCCCGCAAAGTTATGCTCGATTTGTAAATTCCTGCGTGAGGTAGGCGGGTTTATGCGGATTTTCGGAGCAGCGAGTCATTGTTTATTATTGGGGCGAGCGTGGCCTCGCTGTTGTACTGTTGTTGTCGTTGTTTCGGTGCGCTGGAAAAATTCGAGGGAGGAATTAATGAATGTTCGGTTTTGCTTGGCTCGTAGCTTGTCATTTTCAATTCGATGCCACTCTCGTTTTCTCTGGTTACACAGATTTTCGCATTCGTTAATAATCATACTGTTGGACTCTCGCGTCATCTCCTTTGTCGAATCGAATTATATCTTGATTCATTTGACGCACCCTCAAAGTTTTATTAAGACCATATAATTCGTTTTAAAAAACAATTTAGTTTTTTTATCCGATGAAAGGTATTTGTAATATTATTCTTAGTGAGACGCAATGCTGATTATTATCATCAGCTCCTGCTTATGAGGAGCCTCGACTGGAATCGTCTGAAATATTGCAATCACGAGAACTCCTTCCATTCAAGGATGTTCACCCCAGTTAGTGGGGGGAAGGCTGGCAATTATTTTGCAGGTAAGGATAATTTTTACGTGTTTACGCATACTCGACCTTTTTTTTTTACTTTATCGATAAACCAACTTGCGGATCCATTTGAAAATTCAACGTAATAAGTATTTATTTAAAAGTATTTTATCATGAAAAAAAAAAATTTGGAGAACTCCCTTATTACATCATTCCATTGCAGATGCAATTTTACACATAATTCTTCCATGAGGTTGCACGTTTAATTGAGATTTTTTTAAAATTAAATATGTAAAAAATAGTAAAGAGAAACGATCCAAAAATGTTGTGGGGGGGTATTTTTATGATGTATAACGAATGTGCACGTTCAAAGACTCAACAATATCCATTAGAAAAATGTGTGTGTGATGAACCTCCTGAATAACGATGCATCAAAGACCTACTTGAGGCCTATTTCAACTTGAACAATCAATTGTAATTCATCCATCTCTGGCCTATAAACACAGTCCTGGTCGCCAAATCCAAAACATCCCAGCACATATTATTTTTCCAACACGTTCCAAAAGTCTCTTGTACCATCTCATCGCGTACGATTTTTGTTTCGAGGCACCCAATAGCCCAGCCCGCAAAATCAACAATCACGCCTGCAAACATTGTCGAATCAATCAAAGCAAACATCGGCCGCAAGCAAGGGGCAAGGCAGTCGGTGCAAACTTTGAAACTCGGATCGGTGCAGCTGGCGTGCAGCACGTCTGCACCGGTCCAATATCCCGGGAGGGTAAAAAAAAGGAGAGTTCGAGGAAAGGAGAATGGATGAGCTGGGGGAGAGGACCCTGGGAAGCCAGAGACTGTGTGTAGGCGCAAGCGTGTCGTTGTATAGCTGGGAAACGAGGAACGCGCTGGCGACGACGACAAATTGCCAAAGTCGAAAGGAAACGAGTCTCCTTTTCTCTTCCCTCGAGCTAAGAGTATACGCATGTAGAGTCGTGAAAGGGATTGAGCGAGAAGAAAAAAAAAAAAATGCGGAGGAGATTGAAAGGAACGGAGACAAACCATATTTGAGAAGGAGATGAAGCGAAAAAGGGATTTTGGAGTATCAGGACTGAGTGATGGATTTTTTGGAATTTCCGATGGGACTTTGAGAGTCGTTAGGCTATTACGTGTACCCAGATGATGGGAAATGCTATACTTGTCAGTCAAAGTACTGATAATAATCAGTGGCATTAGGCGTTACGAGAAATGATTAGCCACAGTGGATGACATTGTAATAAGCAGTTTTGAGATTTAATTAATTTGTGATAAGCAATTATAAGAAGTAGTGAAGCAGTTGCAAGAAGTAGTAAAATATGATGATAGAAATCATGTATGTTTTTTGTATTTGCTCAATAGTCTCATCCACTGGATATACGTTATGTTTAATCTTATGGTTTGAATGAGAAACAAGTAAGTAAACAATAACAGTTAACAGTAGTTATGAATGTGTTCAGCTGAGTAAATGTTCAGCTGACTATTTGTTTAAGCTCAAATTTTTTGCGTTGCTTCGTTTTTATGTTTGATTGCTGATAAGGTTTCACCAGAAGGGTCCAAAATTGTACAACTCTAAAAAAAAAAAAAAAAAAAAAAATACATTAATGAACAATCGATGGCATATTGGTCAGATTCTATACGCGGGCAAAAGACGTAGCCCGCTCGACCAACGTCGAGCATACCCCTCTAAGATATAAGATTATATTTAAGGTGTTAGAGCGAGGGGAGCTTGGGTTAAAGGTAAAGGTAGGGGGAGCTCTCCCTCCACTGCTAGCTTGGTCGGAGAGAGAGTAAAACCGTTGTGCGCATGCGCGAGAACTCTTGGTTGTTAGAAACACTGGGCTCAGACCAGACTGACTGACTACTTGCAGATGTGCAGTACGCGCAGGTACAAGCGCTCACCGCAAACGTCTATACATACATATATTCATAGGATTGTTGCTATCACGCCCCCTCAATTATATATTTATATATAAAAAAT